TTGTTCAGTTTTCCTGTACGGTTTTATCCGGTTTTCCTAATTGTTATGAAAACCACTTGAATAATCAAAAATATATTACCTCTCCAATTATAGAGTAGTAGAACACGATTCCGTATGGCCCATATCGGTGGACGAAACCGTGCATATTTTAAGGCATACGATTCCGTACGTTTTGTATTTAATATTTTAGTGCAATGTTGCTACATATACATAAGGTATCCCTAACTATTATAGTAACATTTATACAACGTACAACAGTGATACAATTGTTCTATATAGGATAAGTTTTTGTTGTATTTAATTATGCCCCGAAATATAATATTCAGCTCTATACAATTAATTGTTTTCAAAATGACTTTTATATACCCGTGGTATATTTTTTTCATGTCTAAAAAATCTGAACAAACTTATATTTACATATGATTATTTCTTTACGAGTTAAGTGAGTCAATTTTTTTCTATAGTAGTATGTGGTTAGTTATAGTAAAAAAAATTGTATACAATTTATACTATCCAATTCTAATTAAAAATTTTAATTTTGACTTTTAAAGTTCATCAACTTTTTTTTATAACGGTGTATTATTTAAGAAAATTAAACGAATTGAAAAAAAAAAGATATTAATTATTAATATTAATATTATTATTTTTTGTTATTCTTTTTTTAGGAGTGAAACCACTACCTACTATCGATTTTCAAATTACAATTTAAAATAAAAATTCTAAAAATAGATTCAAAATAAATTGAGATTAGATTAAATCTACTGGAATAGGTAAATTATTAAAAATAAAAAAAATTCGTTCATAGCTTCATTCTCACTCTTATCATTTTATATAGATCCGCAAATAGTTTCAATGTTATAACCGTTTGAATTTTTTGAGAATGGGTACGGAAATTATTTTTACAATAGCCAATAGGTTACTACAGTATTACGCGATAAGGAATATTACAATATCACAGCATCATACATTTTTAATAATAATTAGAAGTAATTTATGCCTTTTAAACAAAACGACTATAGTCGTTATATAGACTATATAATGAAATCTATCATCAGATATGTTTGTAGGTTAGATTACGATAATTAGAATAATATCTACTTCAAAGCGGCTATTTTGAAAATGTTGAACACATAAAAAGTAATTTATTTTTTATTTTTCAAAAGCTGAAAATGAAAAAAAAAAATAAAAAATATCTGTTCATACATCCTCTGACATCAAATCCTATTGAACAAATAAAATATAAAACAATTTGAATAAAAACAGAGATATAAGCATCGAAAATACACGATGGGACACACCCTATACATATTCATCTTGCTATAAAACACCGCGTAAAGTTCGTCATTTATACACAAAATGTGTGCGTCTTTATATTATGTTCTTTTATTTTTTTCCTTATGTATTAATATTATTCTGTGAGCTGCTTTATACATATAAATATAATATATACCTAAAAAACTGTCGAGAAAGACTAACGTGACGTATATGTGAAATATACGAAACCCTTACGAGGTACTTCATGGATGGAAAAACATCGCAGCAAAGCTTTATGAACGCGCGCCACGTATAATATGTATACGGCTCCAGCGAAATTTCATTCTCAGTTATAGTTTTAGACAAAAACACTCGGATTATAATATACAAATTGAAGAAGACAGGTTTTTTTTTTTTTTTATTATTATTATTATTTTACATGCCAGACTGTATATAGCTGCTTACATATACACGCAGTTGCGCGATTATATTGCATCATGTTTCTAAAATTGGAAATGAAATTTTAAAATATTGCATTGTGTAGGATTTATTAAGATAATATTGTGCCTTGGATTCGGTAATATTATTATTGTTTTGATTAGATATGAGAAAAGAATACCATAGAGGCCTTTGAAATGCGATGTTATCGAATAATGCTTGCGATTAAACGAACACAAAGAATAACAAACGAAGGAGTGCGTATTATACTGAACGGAATAAAGGAAAACCGAGAACTTTGACGTAGTACAAAAGTCAGAAGGGAAAAAATTATAGGGCATTTTACTGCGTCGCGATAGCTTTATTAAATTATTATTATAGAGACGGTGAAGTCTGTGGAAAACCGTAAAAAAATAAGGTAACCAATAAGGGTTGGCATTCACTTTTGTTTCGATTACCAGTAACGAGTTACCGGCTCAAACTATTCAAACAGAAAAACGGTTACCGGTTTTCGGGTCATAAATTTTCACTAACCTGTTTTAACCGAGAAAATGGATTATGAATGAGTTTTCATTTTGAATAAAAATAACAATAACTTTTGTTTAATCCTGTATATCCTACCTTCCCAACTGTTAATTACTATTCATTTCATTTTTCCGATATAATTACAAACAATTTAAAAACACGTCTGCACGTGTAATTTAATTAATGATAAACAGGTAGGTACAATAGGTACAAGATAGTACAAGTTAGGTGTCGTTCGGTTTTGTGTTGCTGTTTATATATAGAAGAAATAATGCATTTTTTTTTTTTTTTACTCTGCATAATTCATTTGCGTAGGTAGGTAAATTTTAAAGGTCTTAATAAAAAATATAAACTCTAACGGTTTTTCGTTGTTTTTCTTTTTTATTATTATTACCAAATTTAGACGGCTTAACGTTGAAATTATTCGGTGATTTTTCGCGAGCATAATATTTGTATAGATATAAAATAATTACGAGTTTATTACGCAATTAGAAGGGGAGCGTATAGTTTATATTATTTTTTTAGCCGCATCGTATTTTAGTCGTAAAAGTATACATTTTGTAGGTTTTTTTTTTAAATATTATTTTAAAGTAGTATACGGAGAACAATTTAGATTCGGGAACGAATTTCAGAGTTTTGTTAATTACTAACTAGTAACTACTGTACTGCGCGTTTTAGAAACGAAGTTCTTATTCCGTTAGCCGGAGGGCTGTGTTTAATACGGTTTAATATACGAGATTGCAAACCATGTTTTGGTTCAGTTATATTATATTCTAAGGGCATAATATGTGTTTTCCGGCTGTGCAGCTTCGTGTTGGGTTTCTCTTAGTTTGTTATCTTTAGTTGCGACGCACACCCTCAAATAAAATGATGCTCGATAGACGCCGTATAAATATATTCACCGAGTAGGTGTACTATTACCTAAACTGGCTGAACTATTTACCATAAGCAAATATTATGTTATTATGATATACTGTATTATGTTTTGAACTTTAATAGAAAATTGTAAAAAAAAAAAAAAATGTTTGACGTTGAACGTAAATTTCGTGTAGGTAATACATGATTTTAGTTTAAAAATAATTATGAAATGTTTTCTACATATCTATAGAACTGAAATTTGTATGATATCTCTTCTAATAATTTTCACTTATCACACCGAAAATAACATTAATAATGAGTTCCCTTGCTAGAATTTTAACTAGGAAATAAATAGGTACGACGTTAGGTATACATGATAGCAGTGATCCTTTCTCTTTCATCCGTAGCCAAGTCGTGCCATTAATGTTGGTTAATATAGGAATGGTATATTAAATATTTTAATATCTATGGTTATAGTATAAAATATTTCGATTTCGTCAATCATTGTTTTATGATTTTTGTACATTATCGGTCTGTCACGTGACTTTTCAACTACATTTTACATTTTGCCTCTTTTTATATCTATCTAACATGGTTATTAAACAACTTAAGGTTTTAGGATTTATGTTTTTATCACTTCGGACACCAACTTTTCTGGAATAGGATCAGATTTAAAAGTTGTGGATTTTTGTTCGTCGTTGATGTTGCAGAACACTAAATGAATTGCACCAATTTAGCGATTTAGCAATTTTTCTGAAACCTATGCTTCTATGCTTTTTCCTCCTATCGAAATGTAGTTAATTATAATTCAGATATTCCCCGAGAATTAATAAATTAAAAAACATCCTTGTAAGTATTTTAATTTCTTGATATTGAGTGAAGCGAAGAATGAATTTTAAATTTGGTTTGTGTGTTTTTATGCAGCTGTAAACAAATTTTCTAACAGGAATTTTATTTCAATAAAAAACTATAGGGTTTTCCTTATGGCATTTTTGGACTAGTTGGTATATTGAAAATATAATTTTTGATTTTGCTTGTAGTTTTTTTAATAAATGGAATAACTGGTAATTGTTTTTATAATTTGTATTGGTTTCTGGGATACCTTGGTAACAAGAGATAAAGCTTGACTATTATGCTCTGCTTAGAATAGTTTTTCGTTAGCAATAATTTATTATTACATACAAATATGAATTAAATTACTTTATGTATCCTCCCTTCCAATTGATCTTCTAAAACAATGACTCACCGTTCAATATATTTGTTTATCGATTATTATATACCTATATTTCGACGACTTTTCGAGTGTCAGTTGAGATTATATTATCCTTGTATTTGAAATAATATTTCGTTGTTTTCGCTAAATGATAAATCCATGGTTTTTTACTGTTGTCAATACGGCTCTGTGATGTTAGTCCCGGGAATTTTACCTACGTACATTTATTTATTTCGACATTCGTAACCATATTATTTATTAACTGGCGGGTCATTTTTAGAGGGAGTTTCGAACGCATCAATGCATTTGTATATAAAGGTAATAAAACTTCTTTTGGATTATTAGATATTTTGTTGTATACAGGTGTTTGTAATTTCGGTGTATTGTATTGGCATTTTTTGTATTCTTTGTTTGGTTGTACAAGTTGTTGTTGTTGTTGTTGTTTATTTCTTTTCTTTAAATTTGAGCTCTTCAATTTTAAATATAAAAAATATAGAACATTAATATTTTATTAAAATCCCACGTTCTTTCCCATCACTTTCATATTAAATTACAACAAATATGGATATTAAACACTCTATATTATATTAGTTTTTTCAGAATAGTGTAACTTTTTTTTACTTTTACTTATTAGGGCGTTTTGAAAAAAATAATATTTTACTTACGTAGTTATATAATTAAAAGGGTTTTTTTTATCTTTAAAACGATATACTTAAGATATATCTCTTCCTGCGATACGAACACCTCCACGTATGAGGATGCAATTCGGCAGGTCTCTCGATCCTGGCGGGGATTGAACATCCAGCATGGGCATCCAGATCGGCTGGTTGCGTACCGGATCGCCATGGAGAAGGGCAAGACGAGACTCTAGGCTAGATGCACTGGGCTGGGAGAATACTACCCTGTGGGCAAGACTTAGCCAGACCTTAGTTCTAAATATTATTGTAAGCGGATGTAGCGGCAGACTTGCCTGCGCACTCAACACCATGCGTGTATTATAATTAATGTGTAATGTATAATTGATAAATTAATATTATATTAATTACAATTAACGATGGCAGAAACAATGTAGTTATGAGCAAACGACATCTATACTATCGGTTATACCCGACAAAAAAAGTGGAAACCGCCATTTTTTAATTTTTCGTTTTATTTGGATTCAATTAATATCACTTCTTTAATAGTAAATGTTTAATTGTACACCAAATTAATGACTTTTAGGTAGGACTTGTTTTGGCAAGAGTCATGTTCAGTTAACTTAAAGAAATGTTAAATAATTAAATAGTAAAAGTAGATAGATACACTGAACGATGAGTTGTAAGGTCTATCACGTAATATTGTTTTAGTTAGTCGATTCCTTGGACAGTTGTAGCGAGCAGAACACTGGTCGAAACAACAAATTGAATTATTTTTCGGATGATTGAACAAGTTTGAACTTGTTTGGCGGCTGCAAGTTTTTCTTGCATACGTAGCTCTAAGCTGCACGAGTAAGTCTATATAATTCGAATAATCGGTTTCAATATGTTTGACGAGTTTGTTTATCTACACGGTAATTATTTTCGTTCGTACTCGTCTGAAGTATTTGTACGGTGCTATTGCTATATAGAAAAATATTTCCAACAGTTTTGATTTTGTTCTCCAAACTTTCAACCGAGTTGTTGTTATATTGTTGTTAAAATAAGACGTACTTATATAAAATTATACCGCGCTTCGGTTTATACCTTACTCGCTTCATTGTTGGTGGTGTAATTGAATTGCGTTGCTCCTGACTCGTTAAATTTAATTAGATCATAATATAATAAAATTTTTTACAAGGCTAATAAATGAGGGATTTTTTTTACGGAGCTAATAATAATATGTCTTATAATCACGTGCCCACAAATCGTATAACATAAATAATTATCGATTAACTTTATATACGAGTATATGAAAAAATAAATATTGCCCAAAACAACATATATTTTTTTTTTTGATTTTACAGATTATACATTTTTCTTTTTTCAATCGTTGATATTATATATATATACATATACTAGCTGTCCCGCGCCCGGCATTGCCCGTGCCAATTTTTATTATTATTATTTTACCCATATAAATTTATTTTTAGTTTTGGTCGTGTCAGAATTGAATGAAAACAAATAGTTGAAAAGTGGGTAGTACACCTTCGGTAGACTAAATGTGTTCTGTTGTACAATTTTCATTGTGCAAATAATAGCAATAATAATAATAATTATAATAGTTTTTTTTCCGTAACACCAAGGTAACCCACGAGCAAACAAAAATAAATAAATAAGCAATTTGATATTCTTACCAAATACACCTTAAAACCCCTTTTACTCCTACCTTAGGATACCTCCTACCCTTTACTCCCTTAGGGGTTGAATTTTCAAAAATTCTTTCTTGTTGCACGGTGAAAGTATTAGAGAAACCACTATTCCAAATTTCAAGTGCGTACATTTAGTAGGTTTTGAGATACAGCGATCAGTGTATCAGTGGTATTTGGATTTAATATATATATATATATATATAGATTGACTTTTTCAGTTTTTCTTTATCAAACAAGATAACTGTTTGATTTTTTTTTCCGCGAAAGTGTTATAGTATATTGTTATATTTTGAGTTATGGAAAAAGTTTTTTATTTGTGTTTTATACTATACGATGAACATAATATTAGGATCACGAGTAAAATTAGTTTGCTGAATGGATGGTTTTAAAATTAATATCGTGTCTGAAGTGAAGCTCGCGCATTTCGAGTTTTCTACTTAAGTTAAATTATTATTCGATTGGGATATTTTATTGGATGGGCGTGTAAAACGAATATAATAATATAGCATAATATTAGCATTCATTGCCAGCGTATAGTTCTATGGGTTTTTTTTTTAAGTTTTGAATTTTTAACGCATTTGAAACGCCTGCTTTGTCGGTTAGTTAATTCCACTGGGGGTTTCGAAGTAAGTTTGTTCATAAAATTTATCTACAGAACAATGTATATTTTGTTTTCTAATACTATAAAAACGATTGTAGAGTAAAAAGAAAATAATAAATATAACTTAAATTTAAACATTTCATTTAATTGATTCAACATAAATGACGAGGTTAGACTACAAATATTTATATGGAGTTGCATAGTATAGATAATTTTAACGAAAACAAAAATTAATATAGAATTAATATTTTTATTCAAATTCACTTTTATATAGTTTATAAATGTTCCTCAGATCATTATACTTCTTGGTTTTCAGCTTTTGCAGATCTTCAGGCCTATTGCCATAACAACATCCGTCTCCATGTCTCCGTGTATTATTATTTTATAATGCTTTAGCGTAAGAAGATACTTATTTTTGTTGAAAAAAGTAGATATATTAAATTCATTTTCAAATCAGTGATTTTGCCCGAAAATTGGACATGTCTCGTTTTGCCCCGGGTCTTCAATTTTGTTGAACATATGCGTCCGTCTATTGTAATATAGCCCATAAAGTGTCGATTATTATGACTCATGAATATGCATATTTAAGTCGACGAGTATTTCAGTTAAAAATTATTATTATTAGCATTCGTATTTTTCGTTGAACAAATATTTTTAGTAAATTAAAACTTTTCTTGAATCCCTGCTAACAATTACCATAGTAAATAATAATAATACAAAAGTTTCCATCGCCAAGATCATTTTTTTGTTAAAAAATTCTCGTCGTGTTTCTATCTACGAGTGTTAAATAATACGTCGACGATACAACGTAACATTTCTTAATTATTTTACTTACAAGAGTTTAAGTTGCGGCGTATTATTTATTATTGTTTTTTTCACAGATAGTTGTAAAATCTAAATAAAAACACTGTTCGATTTTTCTATTAATTTTCATTAAAAAAATAGAATAAAAATATATTTTTTATCCTATAATTTATATTGGTATATATGGTGTTAAGTTAGGTATGTACATTTTTAATAACGGATAAGTATACTTGTGTTTTCCGCTCATTGGTTGTAAAAGTTTTTCTTCAACGATGCGGTTTCTTCCTCCATTTTAATTTTAAATACCCAGGTATACAGCGACAGCAGCAAGGATGTTATGTTTTTATTCTTATTTTTTTTTCAATGATTGTGTCTGTCGCAAAATACCGCCACTTCAAACGGTGACAGCTCCAGTGATGCAAAGGATTTTCTTTGTGTACGTATATATACTTGTTATGATAAATTAAAAAAAAAAAATTAATAAAAAAACGCAGTTGTAAGTCACGCTTGATACCCAAATAAAAAATAATAAAATATACCGGGTCGGGCAGTACCTATAAATATCATAGATATGTATGTAACCAATATAATTACTTAACAAAAATCTTGTATTTAGATAGGTAAAGTGTCTTTTGGTATTCAAAGATTCTATAAATTGCTTAAACTTTTGTTTAGTATAATTGAAAAAAAAAAATATATTATCAAAAAACTATTACCGTTCAATATAAATAATAGCATTTAAATTACATTTAATCATTACATCTTAATAGATTGTGTTATTCTTTGTAAATTAAAACAAGTCTTATAGGTTTCAACGAAAAATTCAGTAAATGTATGCTAAATTATGAAAATTATATTTGAAGAAAAAAAAAATACTATTTTCCTTATTTATTATGTTTGCCCCGGTCAACCGAATATCGAATCGACGCCACTGCATTAAGCTAAAGAATTTTTGTGTTGGAGACTCCAATCCAAGTGGTCTCCACTTGGTCGAACAAATCATCGGAATTTTACTAATAATTCACACGTACCGACTGATATAAAAAAAAAAAAAAAAAAAAAAAAAACAACAAATTAACACGATATGTATATAGTTTAAGTTTTTGTTAAAACTGAAACGTACTGAAACTTTTATTCTTATGATTATCCCTTTAACGTGACAATTTAAAAAAAAAAAGCTCAAACTGACTATATAGTACATATGTAAAACTATATATCAACGTCATCTAAAAAAAAAAAAAAAAACACATAAAATGAATTTTACTATATTCTATATTTGTGGTCTATACGTATAGTTTGAAATATAAATTTT